ACGATGAACACCACAGAAAACAAAGCAAAAAAAACAGGGGGACTTCCTACTTCGAGCTTCTTCCCTTCTCCTTTCCCAAGCTTCCTGCCAGGGGACACTTCACGGCCAACTCCTTTCTTCCTCTTCTACTCTTCTTCCTCAACAGACCTCTCTCCTGCAAGATACACAAAAAACGACTCACTTTCCAAAAAAACCACAACTCCCTTTCCTCTTCCTCCACAAAAACAAACACACACGGACAGAGAGCTAGAGGAAAATTCTCTACCACCTTTTCCTTCTTCGAGCCACATACAACCACAAACCAGCAGTAAAAAAATAGAAAAGCAATAACAACCACCACCAGAAAACTCAAGAAAGGAAAGAAGCAGCAATCAGAACTCCACAGAAGTAAAGAAGAAAGCAGCTCTAACCACACCAGTCTACAAACAAAAGGTTGGTAGCTCCAACTTCTCCTACCTATGTGAAGTTTTTCTCTTATCAAAAAGACTTAATCAACTCCATTCTAGCAGCAGGCTGATTTTGTTTAAAAGAGGAAATATTCGATCTACCCCAAGCAAATCACAATTTGACTACTATCAATCTAATTATTATTATCGTTGTTACTTTATCAGTCTTCACATTCAGGCAATTCACCACTACCATCATCCACTTGTATACATTCATTTCTATTTCAGTCCCTTTTTCCATTTAAGCACTTACCATTATCATCATACTTGTATTATTTGTCTACTCTTTCTATTGCTATAAACTACATATAGCTTACAAGTATTTTCGTTCAAGTTAGCTAATGCATATGAGTACAGTTACTAATGATTGCTAATACTAAGATAATAGTATTGTTTCATTTATCATCTCATTTGCACTTCCACCATATTAGCATGAAATTCCATCATTACATACGTAAGCAAAACAATGCTAAAACCACTAATAAATCACGGAATAGAATGCAGAAAGAAACAGGCAATACTCCGATCGCCACTCAAATTTCAAAATTCAAAGCATCATGAACACCATAAACTTATAATCTAAACCCACTTTACCAAAACCATAAACACTCGTAGAGAGCTAATCTCAAACCAAGACTAGCAACTAACATGGTTTCTCAAATTATAGTCCAAAACAACCCCAAACCAAACACCATTATCACAAGCTAATTTCCAGATTCCACTTACACGTACCATCAATCCCCAAATTTAAACCCATAATACACAACGATACAGATATGTAAACCCATTTTAAACCACTAGAAAGGAAATCTTACGCTTACAAACAACCCTATTCGCAAAAAAACAGTTATAAGCACAAACTTCCAAAACCAAAACTTCCACCACAAACGCTTCTATAACCAAAAGTACAAACCACAAACCGAATTTCCAGGTTATTAAGCCCATCACCAACCATAAACGCAGAAATCCCAGCACTACCAAAACCTCATATTTCCATATTCAGACCCACAATCTATCACAAAAATACCAACTTTCTGGAGTTCCATACCATGAAAAGAAATTTTCAGGACTATAAACACCACTAGCGAATCAAACCCAGCTAAGAAACGACCCAGAGAAACAAAAGCTACCAAAACAAAGTTCACTCATCTTGTCTTTGTCGCCGCCGGAGAAGCTCAGAGCTGCCGTTGTTGACCCTCTTTCCTTCCTTCGCCCTTTCCTCGTCCCCTTCCACCAAAACCAAAAGGGAGCGAAATCAGAATCAAATCGAAGAGTAAATAAACCAAAATTAAAAAGAGGGGTCGAAACCCTCACCCGTCACTGCCAGGCCTCTGTCGTGCCACCTTATTACCTTCGCCGCCGTCGATCGCCATGGCCGATGTCCACTACTGTCGCTTCTTCCTGCCCCGTCCTTTTGCTCTCCTTCCTTGCTCCTCATCATTCACTAGAACGTAGGGAGAAGAAGAGGGTCGATTGATAGGCGAAAAGAAGTAAGAGGGAGAGAGGCAATGGTTTAGTCCGATCGAGAGGAGGACTAGGGTTCAGTTTTGCTCGTCATTTGGAGGGAACAGTTGGAAATGGAGAGAGTGAAGGAGAGGCTGAGCGGCGCCGAGTTTCATATAGGTTAGGACTTAGGGTTTCGTTTGTTTTGTTAGACAGGTTTATATGCCTTGTGTTGCTAATTGGCTAAAATGCCCCTTCAATTTCGTTTTATTTACCCGTTGCCATCTTAAACAAAGACAAAAAAAAAAAAAAGTTTTCATGGATCAAGAGTTGTACCTGTATAGGTCTCACAGTTAGGCTACACGCCTAATATATATAAGGAAACAATTTCGTTTTTATTTATCTCTTAAACCTTCTTAATACGAAAACTAAACATGTTTGAATCCTTCGTTTAGGTTTAGTCCGATTACTCAAATACTCGAGGAGCATTAATTTTTGGACTCTTAGGGTTATTGAGTTTGGTATCCCTTCGTATTTATTTTTCCTAAAAAAACAATTCTTCATACAGAATCATAGTCAATAGGCTGTGGTAATCTCTCAAATTAAAATTCATTCAAAAATCCAATAATCATCCAATTACAAAATAAAAATATCAAAAATACATTTCATAACAACTCAAATTATTATCTTATTCACGATCAATAGAACGTGGTAAGATCACGCCATGAATCTACCAATTATAATCGAACTACGTGGACTTTGATCCCGACTACTCGGGTACGTAGGCAACCAATAGGTTCGAGTCCAACTAACCAAAAACTCTTTCTTTAATTTTGAGAATTACGTCAATAGACGTATGATCAAATATTAATAACTATCTAATTAATCAAATCATATAATTGAATACACAAATAAGGCGAAATTTATAATACACCCAACCTTAAAAAGCTTATCGATTTAAGTAGTACCCATTATGGGGCGTTGTGGGGTGTGAATACACTTCCCCACATGTAACCGTACTCCCGAACCTAGTAAAATCTAAAATTCGCAGACCGAATCTCGGTTCTGACCCTAAGGTTAGGAACCGGACCAAAAGGTGTTCGATCCACCATATAAACACGGTCGATGGCGACTCCGAGCGTGTCGCGACGTGGTCCCCGATCTGTGAGGGGCGGTTGCGACAGTGGCGACTCCGCTGGGGAAATTTGAGAGTCGAGCTATATTATTTATATCGATAAGTTTTCTTTTCATCTTTGATTTGTTGGGTGTTTACTTTCTCTATTTGCGAATTTAATTTATATTGCATTTAATTATTTGCATTCATTCATTAAAGCTCTATACCCGAGCTGTCCTTATAGAAAAAAGGAAGAAAGTACCGTGACTCCTACAATAGTAGGGGAAATGCGAAAACTTCCCAACCAGGTTGAACTCAAATCCGAGGATGATTTGAGGTATCATGCTAAACTCGAAAGGGTTATAGTGTGATACAACTTGGGAGCCTGATTACTTAAGATCTCTATCCAGCATAGTTTACCTAGAAAACTACCTAACGCAACTTATCCCAAAACCTACCTTAACCCTTGTTGCTAAACCGCTTAAAACCCTAAGTTGGTTTGAATATGATGATGTGTTTATGATTCATGTTTGTTTATGATGTAACGAATTATGATTCATCGGTTATACATGAATGTCGTGGTTAGATGCTATGCAAAAGTTTATCAAAATCCGTGACACTAGAATTCTTTCGTTAGTTCATTGTTCACTCGTTTAAACCGATCATGATGGTAAATGTTCAAACATTTTTGCATCCACAAAAAAATCATCATTCATACGCACAATCGTACCATTTAACACGCTATCTTACATTCATCTCATTTAGCATGACTCGTTCACTCATCTCAGTTAGCAACATGTCACAATTTAACCATGATAAGTCAAGGATTCTCTAAAGTGCTCATTCACAAGGATAAAGTCAACCTTTGAGTACAAGTTCCAAGGTTGTGCTCGTTACGGAGTTCATTCTAGAAGCAATTTGATGACACCAAAAGAAGGTCAACCATATATGAAGAAATGAAATGACAAGTTGCCATGTTCACGAGAAGTTTGTCAAAAATTCAAAGAATAAAGCCAATTGTCCAAACTTCAACGACAACCCACGATAAGTTTGTCGAAAACTCAAAGAAGAAGCCAATTGTCCATACATCGACAATGACCATTGACCACTCATGGGTATTAGTTGGCACGCTGCAAGACGAAGCTCTATTAAATAATGATGTCAATCCTCAGGAGCAAATGAGCATGAATGCGTATTATCTTATGTATCAAACAATCTCCTTCATACTAAAGAATAAATAGTTATTTGCATTTCCAGCTATTTGGAATATTGTGTGATTGCTACCAATCTTGATTTAGATGTTTGCATCAATGGTCCTTCTCTTTTCAAAATGAGGAGCATGTTTTCCAAAACTTCAAGATTACCTTGTTTTCTCTAAAATGAGAACCATAAAAATGCATTTCATGTTTTCAAGTAAAGCCATGAGATTTTCATATAAGCAACCATAAGCACCCCACTGGTGCTGAGTGTTTATAAACACTGTACTGGTGTCCAGAATTTGAGCCACCCACTTATGTGAGAGTATGCACACTTTGCTAGAGTTGAGAGAATAACACCCCCACTGGTGTCCACAAATTATGTGAGCTAAATAGTCAAAGGGTGCAACGAGGATATGAGACTAGGCTACTTGTAGAATCTTGTCACTATCCATAACCGATATAGGTTGTGTATTTCGAATTATGGCCTACAAGAAGCGTGATGCCGACATTATAAAAGCCAAGTTCTGACAAAACCCTCATCGGGGCACGCATAGAATCCACATCATCTGTTGAGGCTAAAGAGAAAAATGTCTCATTGCCATCCAATGTTTACACGCATAAATCTAACCTGAGAGGAGGCATTTAACCTGACGTCATGAGTATCACTCCTCAAGAAAGGGATAGCCAGTAGCCCATACGACAAGAAAAAATCACTCACGTCGGCAAATTTTTAACATTTTGATGCTCAAGTCAAATGACAGCATCAGCATGTATGGGGCATAACAACATTAATTAAGTCCCACAAAAATTAAAAGGAAAAAAGAAGCCAAAATGGCAAAAAAAAAAAAAATTCAAAACAAAGAAAAAGAAAAATTGTGGGACTTACATATTAGATGCCCATACACGAGCGCTTGAAGCTACAATCACTCAAACTCGTCGCAAACGACCGACTACCTTTGCAAAGAGGCAAAAAAGGCGATCCCAAGTTTAATGTCGATATGGTCACAAGAGTTCAATATTGGACAAATATCTCAATCAGGATATACTCAAGCGGAGCTAGCCATCAAGTTAACCAGCTTTCCAGATCAAAGAATGCTTGCCTCTCAAGCATGAGGAAATAGCGCAAAGAATCCGTAATGAGAAGGGTTCGTAAGATGAGAATATCAGCATACGCTTAAATTACACCCCATGATGATCCCTATTATCCAATTCTTTCTAGTAAAAGAAGAACCCCATGATAATAAGACTTGGCAATCGCCACATAAAGGCCTTCAAACACTCATCATTCTGAGAGCCAATGAGAATTCGAAGCATGTATCGTACCAAGACCTCTTTTATCCATCCTTTCAAGTGAAAATAAGGACCTCAGAAAATGAGAAGATTTCTGCTCAAATTACCTCAATTACTTAATCGAGCTTACCTCCCAAAACCAAATTTCTAGACAATGGGGCAACTTGAGTGAAGAAATGTCCACACAAGATACCCAAGATAGCCACCATTCGCAAGGAAAATGAGATATCCTCAATAAAGATCTCATATATCGATCAGCCAGCTTCATACTTTGGGGGCAAGTCAGAATCCCTCAGCAGGAAACTTTAGAAAATGAAGGATGTGAGACTCATTTATCCATCATTTATTCGAGAAGTTCAGCTTCCCAAAACATAAGGACTCCTACGTACAAGAGGCCTCCTTCCATGAAAGTTCTAGAAATCACATGACGGGGCTATATTGAGGTCACCTGAACTCTCCATGATCAACAATCCTATACCTCAAGCACATTTGTCCCCAACATGGTGACAAGAATCTTGATAGTAGCTGAAGTATCGTAAACTCGACGCACCCATAGGATTGAGTGAGAGTGAAACTGAGAGTGAGAATGAGAACGAGGGCTTATGAATATTCTCATGGCTTGGCTTATGAAAAAAAACTTTTTAAACAATGTGGCAATAACCACACAAGAAATCTTTTTCTCATGTTGCACCACATTTTCCTCAAGTGAGGCTTTGATTTCTAAAATTGAGTTCCATTATACTTTTTCAAAATGAGATTTTTCAAACATTGTTTGCAATCTTCTTAAGTCAAGATTGGTAAAAGTTGCACCTTTGTTCCGAAGAACAGAAGGCAAAGAACATATTCTCAAGGGCAAGATAGTGCCACTGAAAAAGTGGTTATCCAAACCCTCAAATCATGATTAGACGGGAAACCTCATTGATCTTGAATCATTTGTTCCAGCTACCCAATCTGTCAATCAAACTATCCTTCAACTAAATTTTTTTTTACCTCATACCTCTCGGCGAAATCAATCAAGCATGTCTAGAAACCGACATCAACAAGACAATACCCGAGATGAAAATTCCTCTTAGCCAAGCATGACATACTCGCATAGCAAGAATATCAATCATACTAAAAGAGCACGTTATCCAAGGCCACCATGCTACAAATGCCTCCTACAAAATCAACCTACCAGTAAGAAGATTGTATGGCTAAGACATCAGCCACTCAAGCACCGAGGTCCAAGGTGGAGAAAGCAGAGGACCAACCTTTTATTAGTCCCCAAAATGGCATGCATTGGGCTCATTGAGGAGACAAAGAGGAAACACTATATGGCAAGCCCAATACCTCGAGATGATGACTCACACTCGAAGGAAGAAAGTACCTACCGGAGACACCCATGCTGCTCCAGCGCGAGCACAACCAAGGAGAAAGTTCACTAAAAGAATGACGTAGTTCCTTGTGGATGAGGTTTAAGAGAATCCATGAAAAATATCAAGACCATGATTAGGGATTATGCTCTTCCCTTTGCATACCCTTCAAGATATCATCATAGAACCTTTTTCAAATGCCTTTACATACATCATACAACTCATTCTCAAATGCACTTCAAACTAATCATATGACATCATTAGATAGCTAATCTCAAGAAATTAATAGCCAAAGTGAACATCAATAATTTTCAAAGTTCACTTAAAGTGAAAGAACATTTTCATCAACATATCTCATCATGACATTGCATCATATCATATAATCATACATTTGACATCACATACAAACTTTATAAAGTTCAAGTTCGAGACCAATCTGAATTTCATCTAGAATTTCTCAATTGGTTGCTTTAACATTTCTTATCAAACTACAACTTCATGTCACCTATGATTAAGGTTTCAAAAAAATCTGCATATCCTCAAACATAAGAAGGCTACACTGCGAAGAAGGCTACACAGCGAAGAAAGCTACATTGCGAGGGAAACCAGTAGTACCCACAAGAAGGCTACACTGCAAGGGAGCTAATCAGGACCCATAAGAAGGCTACACTGCGAAGAAGGCTACACTGCGAGGGAACCAATTAGAACCCACAAGTCGGCTACACTGCGAGGGAGCTAATAAGGACCCACTAGAAGCTACACTGCGAAGAAAGCTACATTGCGAGGGAAATTAATTAACACCCACAAGAAGGCTACACTGCCAGGGAGTGAATCAGAACCCACTAGAAGGCTACACTGCGAAGGATGGCTACACTACATGAGGGAATCTAGTTGGCACCTACATCTAGGCTACACTGCCAAGGAGCTAATCAGTACTCTTAACACAATTACACACGAAGAAGGCTACCTACGAAGGAACCCAATTAGCACCCACAAGTCAGCTACACTGCGAGGGAGCTAATCATGACTCATAACATGGTTACACTGCGAAGGATAACCACACTATGAAGGAAGCTAATCAACATCCTATGTTGGTTGTACATGGGAGTTGATCAATAACCTCAATTCTCATTATACCTCAAGAAAGTCGGTAAGAGCACCAAACTATAAATAATCACGACGCTACTAATAAACCGGCCAAAAATTGTGTGATATGTACTTTGTATACTCTAAAATACCAAGAGATATACAAAGTGGGGGCAACTGTAGACACCACTTTTTGTCCGGGTTAAAACATATTTAACTAATTAAAATTAAACTTTTTGTTTGGGATTTGCAATAGCGAATTTCTACCTAAAATGAATTTTATGTGTTTGGGATGGATCATCACTTTGCCTCAATTGAGATTAAGCAATAGCAAATTTCGATTTATGCATTTTGATAGTGACTAGTGGCGTGGTTATGGTTATACAAAAGTGGTTATGGTTATACAAAGTAAGCTTGAGTTTGATTTTGGTTGTCATGCATGTTACTGTTAATCGATCCCTAAAACATCAGGTGTTATGAGAATTGGGCCTCAATTTCTAAATAATAAATAGAAGTCATAACAATTTTATCAAGAAAATACAATACATAAGAATTACAATTAATTACAATGCTAAATTGCTATACATTACACTAATTACAATGGTACAATATAAGAATTTAGGCCCAAGTCAAACCCCAACCAAAAAATTCAAACAGTCAATGAAGTCAACGAAGTCAAACACACAGCCAGGCCTGGTCCAACCAATGACCCAAAACCCGATCAGACGAGAGTGGGTACTGTAGCTGCTTGCTGCCTAAGCATCCTCTTTCTATAAAAAGAGCCCTTGGGCACTTACAAAGGGGGTGGACTTCTTTTCGTTGTTCTTCTTCGTCCTCCAGGGGATCGATTCTCCTGTTCTTCTTCAACTTCTTCTCTTCCCTTCTCTTTCAAATAAAAACACAGTAGAGAAACTCTGCAAAAACCTCCCACTTCCTTCCCTTCTTACACAGATGAACACCACAGAAAACAAAGCAAAAAAAACAGGGGACTTCCTACTTCGAGCTTCTTCCCTTCTCCTTTCCCAAGCTTCCTGCCAGGGGACACTTCACGGCCAACTCCTTTCTTCCTCTTCTACTTCTTCCTTCCTCAACAGACCTCTCTCCTGCAAGATACACAAAAAACAGACTCACTTTCCAAAAAAACACAACTCCCTTTCCTCTTCTCACAAAAACAAACACACACGGACAGAGAGCTAGAGGAAAATTCTCTACCACCTTTTCCTTCTTCGAGCCACATACAACCCACAAACCAGCAGTCAAAAAAATAGAAAAGCAATAACAACCACCACCAGAAAACTCAAGAAAGGAAAGGAAGCAGCAATCAGAACTCCACAGAAGTAAAGAAGAAAGCAGCTCTAACCACACCAGTCTACAAACAAAAGGTTGGTAGCTCCAACTTCTCCTACCTATGTGAAGTTTTTCTCTTATCAAAAGAAACTTAATCAACTCCATTCTAGCAGCAGGCTGATTTTGTTTAAAAGAGGAACATATTCGATCTACCCCAAGCAAATCACAATTTGACTACTATCATCTAATATTATTATCGTTGTACTTTATCAGTTCCTTTCACATTCAGGCAATTCACCACTACCATCATCCACTGTATACATTCATCTTTCTATTTCAGTCCCTTTTTCCATTTAAGCACTTACCATTATCATCATACTTGTATTTATTTGTCTACTCTTTCTATTGCTATAAACTACATATAGCTTACAAGTATTTTCGTTCAAGTTAGCTAATGCATATGAGTACAGTTACTAATGATCTGCTAATACTAAGATAATAGTATTGTTTCATTTATCATCTCATTTGCACTTCCACCATATTAGCATGAAATTCCATCATTACATACGTAAGCAAAACAATGCTAAAACACTAATAAATCACGGAATAGAATGCAGAAAGAAACAGGCAATACTCCCGATCGCCACTCAAATTTCAAAATTCAAAGCATCATGAACACCATAAACTTATAATCTAAACCCACTTTACCAAAACCATAAACACTCGTAGAGAGCAATCTCAAACCAAGACTAGCAACTAACATGGTTTCTCAAATTATAGTCCAAAACCAACCCCAAACCAAACACCATTATCACAAAGCTAATTTCCAGATTCACACTTACACGTACCATCAATCCCCAAATTTAAACCCATAATACACAACGATACAGATATGTAAACCCATTTTTAAACCACTAGAAAGGAAATCTTACGCTTACAAACAACCCTATTCGCAAAAAAACAGTTATAAGCACAAACTTCCAAAACCAAAACTTTCCACCACAAACGCTTCTATAACCAAAAGTACAAACCACAACCGAATTTCCAGGTTATTAAGCCCCATCACCAACCATAAACGCAGAAATCCAGCACTACCATAAAACCTCATATTTCCATATTCAGACCACAATCTATCACAAAAATACCAACTTTCTGGAGTTCCATACCATGAAAAGAAATTTTCAGGACTATAAACCACCACTAGCGAATCAAACCCAGCTAAGAAACGACCCAGAGAAACAAAAGCTTACCAAAACAAAGTTCACTCATCTTGTCTTTGTCGCCGCCGGAGAAGCTCAGAGCTGCCGTTGTTGACCCTCTTTCCTTCCTTCGCCCTTTCCTCGTCCCCCTTCACCAAAACCCAAAAAAGGGAGCGAAATCAGAATCAAATCGAAGAGTAAATAAACCAAAAATTAAAAAAGGGGTCGAAACCCTCACCCGTCACTGCCAGGCCTCTGTCGTGCCACCTTATTACCTTCGCCGCCGTCGATCGCCATGGCCGATGTCCACTACTGTCGCTTCTTCCTGCCCCGTCCTTTTGCTCTCCTTCCTTGCTCCTCATCATTCACTAGAACGTAGGGAGAAGAAGAGGGGTCGATTGATAGGCGAAAGAAGTAAGAGGGAGAGAGGCAATGGTTTAGTCGATCGAGAGGAGGACTAGGGTTCAGTTTTTGCTCGTCATTTGGAGGGAACAGTTGGAAATGGAGAGAGTGAAGGAGAGGCTGAGCGGCGCCGAGTTTCATATAGGTTAGGACTTAGGGTTTCGTTTGTTTTGTTAGACAGGTTTATATGCCTTGTGTTGCTAATTGGCTAAAATGCCCCTTCAATTTCGTTTATTTACCGTTGCCATCTTAAACAAAGACAAAAAAAAAAAAAAGTTTTCATGGATCAAGAGTTGTACCTGTATAGGTCTCACCAGTTAGGCTACACGCCTAATATATAAGGAAACAATTTCGTTTTTATTTATCTTAAACCTTCTTAATACGAAAACTAAACATGTTTGAATCCTTCGTTTAGGTTTAGTCCGATTACTCAAATACTCGAGGAGCATTAATTTTGGACTCTTAGGGGTTATTGAGTTTGGTATCCTTCGTATTATTTTTCCTAAAAAAACAATTCTTCATACAGAATCATAGTCAATAGGTGTGGTAATCTCTCAAATTAAAATTCATTCAAAAATCCAATAATCATCCAATTACAAAATAAAAATATCAAAAATACATTTCATAAACAACTCAAATTATTATCTTATCACGATCAATAGAACGTGGTAAGATCACGCCATGAATCTACCAATTATAATCGAACTACGTGGACTTTGATCCCGACTACTCGGGTACGTAGGCAACCAATAGGTTCGAGTCCAACTAACCAAAAACTCTTTCTTTAATTTTGAGAATTACGTCAATAGACGTATGATCAAATATTAATAACTATCTAATTAATCAAATCATATAATTGAATACACAAATAAGGCGAAATTTATAATACACCCAACCTTAAAAAGCTTATCGATTTAAGTAGTACCCATTATGGGGCGTTGTGGGGTGTGAATACACTTCCCCACATGTAACCGTACTCCCGAACCTAGTAAAATCTAAAATTCGCAGACCGAATCTCGGTTCTGACCCTAAGGTTAGGAAACCGGACCAAAAGGTGTTCGATCCACCATATAAACACGGTCGATGGCGACTCCGAGCGTGTCGCGACGTGGTCCCCGATCTGTGAGGGGGCGGTTGCGACAGTGGCGACTCCGCTGGGGAAATTTGAGAGTCGAGCTATATTATTATATCGATAAGTTTTCTTTCTATCTTTGATTTGGTGGGTGTTTACTTTCTCTATTGCGAATTTAATTTATATTGCATTTAATTATTTGCATTCATTCATTAAAGCTCTAACCCGAGCTGTCCTTATAGAAAAAAGGAAGAAAGTACCGTGACTCCTACAATAGTAGGGGAAATGCGAAAACTTCCCAACCAGGTTGAACTCAAATCCGAGGATGATTTGAGGTATCATGCTAAACTCGAAAGGGTTATAGTGTGATACAACTTGGGAGCCTGATTACTTAAGATCTCTATCCAGCATAGTTTACCTAGAAACTACCTAAACCGCAAACTTATCCCAAAACCTACTTAACCCTTGTTGCTAAACCGCTTAAAACCCTAAGTTGGTTGAATATGATGATGTGTTTATGATTCATTTGTTTATGATGTAACGAATTATGATTCATCGGTTATACATGAATGTCGTGGTTAGATGCTATGCAAAAGTTTATCAAAATCCGTGACACTAGAATTCTTTCGTAGTTCATTGTTCACTCGTTTAAACCGATCATGATGGTAAATGTTCAAACATTTTTGCATCCACAAAAAAAAATCATCATTCATACGCACAATCGTACCATTTAACACGGCTTACATTCATCTCATTTAGCATGACTATCGTTCACTCATCTCAGTTAGCAACATGTCACAATTTAACCATGATAAGTCAAGGATTCTCTAAAGTTGCTCATTCACAAGGATAAAGTCAACCTTGAGTAAAGTTCCAAGGTTGTGCTCGTTACGGAGTTCATTCTAGAAGCAATTTGATGACACCAAAAGAAGGTCAACCATATATGAAGAAATGAAATGACAAGTTGCCATGTTCACGAGAAGTTTGTCAAAAATCAAAGAATAAGCCAATTGTCCAAACTTCAACGACAACCCACGATAAGTTTGTCGAAAACTCAAAGAAGAAGCCAATTGTCCATACATCGACAATGACCCATTGACCACTCATGGGTATTAGTTGGCACGCTGCAAGACGAAGCTCTATTAAATAATGATGTCAATCCTCAGGAGCAAATGAGCATGAATGCGTATTATCTTATGTATCAAACAATCTCCTTCATACTAAAGAATAAATAGTTATTTGCATTTCCAGCTATTTGGAATATTGTGTGATTGCTACCAATCTTGATTTAGATGTTGCATCAATGGTCCTTCTCTTTTCAAAATGAGGAGCATGTTTTCCAAAAACTTCAAGATTACCTTGTTTCTCTAAAATGAGAACCATAAAAATGCATTTCATGTTTTCAAGTAAAGCCATGAGATTTTCATATTAAGCAACCATAAGCACCCCACTGGTGCTGAGTGTTTATAAACACTGTACTGGTGTCCAGAATTTGAGCCACCCACTTATGTTGAGAGTATGCACACTTGCTAGAGTTGAGAGAATAACACCCCACTGGTGTCACAAATTATGTGAGCTAAATAGTCAAAGGGTGCAACGAGGATATGAGACTAGGCTACTTGTAGAATCTTGTCACTATCCATAACCGATATAGGTTGTGTATTTCGAATTATGGCTACAAGAAGCGTGATGCCGACATTATAAAAGCCAAGTTCTGACAAAACCCTCATCGGGGCACGCATAGAATCCACATCATTGTTGAGGCTAAAGAGAAAAATGTCCATTGCCATCCAATGTTTACACGCATAAATCTAACCTGAGAGGAGGCATTTAACCTGACGTCATGAGTATCACTTCCTCAAGAAAGGGATAGCCAGTAGCCCATACGACAAGAAAAAATCACTCACGTCGGCAAATTTTTAACATTTGATGCTCAAGTCAAATGACAGCATCAGCATGTATGGGGCATAACAACATAATTAAGTCCCACAAAAATTAAAAGGAAAAAAGAAGCCAAAATGGCAAAAAAAAAAAAAAAAATTCAAAACAAAGAAAAAGAAAAATTGTGGGACTACATATTAGATGCCCATACACGAGCGCTTGAAGCTACAATCACTCAAACTCGTCGCAAACGACCGACTACCTTTGCAAAGAGGCAAAAAAGGCGATCCCAAGTTAATGTCGATATGGTCACAAGAGTTCAATATTGGACAAATATCTCAATCAGGATATACTCAAGCGGAGCTAGCCATCAAGTTAACCAGCTTTCCAGATCAAAGAATGCTTGCCTCTCAAGCATGAGGAAATAGCGCAAGAATCCGTAATGAGAAGGGTTCGTAAGATGAGAATATCAGCATACGCTTAAATTACACCCCATGATGATCCCTATTATCCAATTCTTTCTAGTAAAAGAAGAACCCCCATGATAATAAGACTTGGCAATCGCCACATAAAGGCCTTCAACACTCATCATTCTGAGAGCCAATGAGAATTCGAAGCATGTATCGTACCAAGACCTCTTTTATCCATCCTTTCAAGTGAAAATAAGGACCTCAGAAAATGAGAAGATTTCTGCTCAAATTACCTCAATTACTTAATCGAGCTTACCTCCCAAAACCAAATTTCTAGACAATGGGGCAACTTGAGTGAAGAAATGTCCACACAAAGATACCCAAGATAGCCACCATTCGCAAGGAAAATGAGATATCCTCAATAAAGATCTCATATATCGATCAGCCAGCTTCATACTTTGGGGGCAAGTCAGAATCCCTCAGCAGGAAACTTTAGAAAATGAAGGAGGTGAGACTCATTTATCCATCATTTATTCGAGAAGTTCTCTTCCCAAAACATAAGGACTCCTACGTACAAGAGCCTCCTTCCATGAAAGTTCTAGAAATCACATGACGGGGCTATATTGAGGTCACCTGAACTCCATGATCAACAATCCTATACCTCAAGCACATTGTCCCCCAACATGGTGACAAGAATCTTGATAGTAGCTGAAGTATCGTAAACTCGACGCACCCATAGGATTGAGTGAGAGTGAAACTGAGGTGAGAATGAGAACGAGGGCTTATGAATATTCTCATGGCTTGGCTTATGAAAAAAACTTTTTAAACAATGTGGCAAAACCACACAAGAAATCTTTTTCTCATGTTGCACACACTTTCCTCAAGTGAGGCTTTGATTTCTAAAATTGAGTTCCCATTATACTTTTTCAAAATGAGATTTTTCAAACATGTTTGCAATCTTCTTAAGTCAAGATTGGTAAAAGTTGCACCTTTGTTCCGAAGAACAGAAGGCAAAGAACATATTCTCAAGGGCAAGATAGTGCCACTGAAAAAGTGGTTATCCAAACCCCTCAAATCATGATTAGACGGGAAACCTCATTGATCTTGAATCATTTGTTCCAGCTACCCAATCTGTCAATCAAACTATCCTTCAACTAAATTTTTTTTACCTCATACCTCTCGGCGAAATCAATCAAGCATGTCTAGAAACCGACATCAACAAGACAATACCCCGAGATGAAAATTCCTCTTAGCCAAGCATGACATACTCGCATAGCAAGAATATCAATCATACTAAAAGAGCACGTATCCAAGGCCACCATGCTACAAATGCCTCCTACAAAATCAACCTACCAGTAAGAAGATTGTATGGCTAAGACATCAGCCACTCAAGCACCGAGGTCCAAGGTGGAGAAAGCAGAGGACAACCTTTTATTAGTCCCCAAAATGGCATGCATTGGGCTCATTGAGGAGACAAAGAGGAAACACTATATGGCAAGCCCAATACCTCGAGATGATGACTCACACTCGAAGGAAGAAAGTACCTACGGAGACACCCATGCTGCTCCAGCGCGAGCACAACCAGGAGGAGAAAGTTCACTAAAAGAATGACGTAGTTCCTTGTGGATGATCGGTTAAGAGAATCCATGAAAAAATATCAAGACCATGATAGGGATTATGCTCTTCCTTTGCATACCTTCAAGATATCATCATAGAACTTTTTCAAATGCACTTACATACATCATACAACATCATTCTCAAATGCACTTCAAACTAATCATAT